CATATTATATTGTTTTATAATAACATAAACATAATAGAGCTGGTTCGATAGAAATAATAGTTATATACTGTATAATATTTATTATTACAATATGAAATCAGCTGTAATAAAAACTTTTGTTATGGTCAGGTCGTACGACAATAATACTATATACGTGGGCATGTGATCGGTGATCGGCAAATAAAATTTTGCTACAAAATTTTTTAACCAATCACCCATTAACCATGTGAAAATAAGTGATATGCTCTCTCAAAAAAAAAAAAATAAATAATAAAAAAAATAATAAATAAATAAATAAAATAAAAGAATAAAATATTATGTTTGATAAAATAAATGCTGCCCTTATCTCTATCGTTACTACTAGATATTTTAATAGATTATCTTTCGATTAGCCATCTTACTCATTTAAGATGATTATGATTTTTGATTATCTTAGACCATTAGCTTATCTATTCAAGTGAAAATAAAATCCAAATTAAGATCATAAGGATGATCTTCGAGTCGAAGACCATTACGAAACCTTTTTATAATGAAAACTGTAAATGAAATGTGTTTTTAACAAATTCAAATAGTAATTGTTCATGATAATGTTAACAATATGTTGTTTTCCAACATTTAAATTATTACAAGCTAACAGTAACCAGTGTAATCATAACTATTTACAAAAACAATTTATTAGCATTTAAAAAATATTTTTACTGATTGGTAAATGGATCATAGATACCGTAAGTAGTGTGAAATAAAGTATTTATTGATACCGTCCAACATTGAATATTACGGACCTTTTTTTCAGCTTACCGATATGAATTTACTTTCAAAATTATACTTATAAAAATTCTTTGTTTTTCTTTTTTGTCTCTAAGAGAAATCATAAATACTGTTTCCTCTTGTGTTACAGTCCTCCATATTTTAGAAAGTACATATTAAGTTAGATTTATTACGATATCTGAAGAACATCCTCACTATAACAAGCAAATGACTCAGTAACCATTAGTAATGGCTGTACAATTTAGATTAAATACTCAAAAACCGTTTAATGACCGAGAACAATAAACCGTCAAAAATGTGTCAATTTTACTTAACTATAAGAATTTATTTTTTCAGTTCTTCCTATTTACATTTTTTTCCCGCTTTTTTTTTAAAATACAACAAACATCAAGGCAGTTAATCAGTTTGACGAATTTCATCAAAAAACCGATTTTTTTTATTAACATATTTGATGAGTTGCGTCTTATCTTTGAAAAAGAATGCAAATAAAGACAAATAAAAAATAAATAAATAAAATAAAATATATTTTTTTTTTCCATTTTAACAATGAATAACAATGTAACCTAATTTGAAAGGATTTACAAATTATAATATAGCTGCAGCAATAATCGGATTGGTTTTCCAACGAACAATTACGCGTATAATCTCCGGAAAATCGGACATTCAAAATAATTAATTAACTCGAATAAAATAATAAAAAAATAAAAAAATAAAAAAAAATAAAATAGTTAAATTTTATTTTTGATCAAAAATAATCATTTGCCCTTATCTCTATCGCTATTAGATCATCTTCCAATTAGCCATCTTATTGAATCTTATTCATTTAAGATTATAATTTGATTATCAAAAACCATTAACTTATAAATGAATCCAAATTAAGGTCATGAACTCATAATAAAGATAATCATCATTGTTCGAGTCGAAGAACATTACGAAAACTTCTTATAGTTAAAAACTATAAATGAATGCTTTTAACAAAGTTCAAATAATTATGCGTGAATAGCGTAACGATGTTAGGAATAAGTTGCGTTTAATGCTTACAGTAACCAGTGAAATCATAAATATTCACAAAAACAATTTAAAAATATTTTCATTAAGCAAATGTATCATAGTAACGTGAAACCAATGTATTTATTGATTACCAGTCCAACATTGAAAATTTATGTCCTCTTTTTTTTTAGTCTACCGATATGAATTACTCAATAAAATTTCACTTATAAAAATTCTTTTTATCTCTTAGAAAAATCATAAATACTACTATGTTTCCTCTGTGTTACAGTCTCCATATTTTAAGTAAGTCCATATTAAGTTAGTTTTATTAATACGCTGGATTTGCTTCAAGATACTCGATCTGATCGCTGATGAACATCTTTAGTAACAAAAAAAAATAAACCGTTAAAAATGAATTATCTTTGCTTGATTATGAGATTTTACAAACATTTGTTCCTTCATTACCCACTAGACTTAATGAACAGGATAATTAAAGAAATTCTCAATTGAGCGCAACATGATCATGAGAGAATTGACTGGCCGCATAACGAAGTTTCTCCGGTTAAATTTTAATTTTATTTTTCTTCCTATGCATTTTTCTTTCTCTTTTTTTTTAAAAAAAACAGTAAAAAAGAATAAATAAATAAATAAATACAACAGATATTGACATATTTGGTGTTGATCATGCAACGTTCTTATCTTTGGAAGGGAATGCAAATAAGATAAATAAATAAATAAAATTTGAATTTTTTAGGAAAACCAAAAAAAATCATTAGTACAACATGACAGGATGTAACCCAACTTGAAAGTGTTTATAAGTTACAACATGAGAAAATTTGGCTAGCTGCAGCATTTATCGGAGTTTGTTGAATGAGTTTTTCCTCGTTACACAACAAACAATTACGCGTATAATCTCCGGAAAATCGGACATTCAAAATAATTAACTCTAATAAAATAATTATTTTTTTTTTTTAATAAAAAAAATAAAAAAAATAAAATTAGATAAACTTATTTTTGATAAATAATCGTTTTGTCTTATCTCTATCGCTATTAGATTATCTTCCAATTAGCCATCTTGTTGAATCTTATTTATTTATGATTTTTGATTATCAAAAACCCATTAACTTATCTATTCGAGTGAAATGAAATCATAATAAGGATGATCATCATTGTTAGAGTCGAAGACCATTACGAAAACTTCTTATAGTGAAAAACTATAAATGAATGCTTTTAATAAAGTTCAAATAATTATGCGTGAGTTTTTCCAACGTTTAATTAATACAAGCTTACAGTAACCAGTGAAATCATAAATATTCACAAAAACAATTTAAAAATATTTTCATTAAGCAAATGGATCATAGTAGTGTGAAACCAATGTATTTATTGATTACCAGTCCAACATTGAAAATTTATGGCCCTCTTTTTTTTTAGTCTACCGATATGAATACTCAATAAAATTTCACTTTTTATCTCTTAGAAAAATAATAAATATAATACTATGTTTCCTCGATGTGCTACAGTTCTCCATATTTAAGAAAGTCCATATTAAGTTAGTTTATTTGATCGCTCNAAAAAAAAAAAAAAAAAAAAAAAAAAAAAAAAAAAAAAGATCCAAATCAGTTTAGTAACCAAGAAAAATAAACCGTTAAAAATAAATCATTTTTGCTTGACTGAGAGATTTTTAATCTTTAATTTTATTTTTCTTCCAACGCATTTTTTTCTCGTTTTTTTTTTAAAAAAAAAAAATATTAAAAAGTAAATAAAATAAATCTTATTTTTTTGCCATTGGATATTTAATAGATTATCTTTCAATTAGTCATCTTATTTCATTTAAGATTATGATTAAGATTATCAAAAAACCATTCAAAAGCTTTATCTATTCGAGAGCAATGAAAATCTAAATTAAGCCATTAAAAAAGAGGATGATCATCATTGTTCGAAATTACGAAAATGAAGAACTATGAATGAATGAATGTGTAACAAAGTTAAAATAATTATGCATGATGACGTTGATAATTTATTTTTCTACCGTTCAAGTTAACATTCAGCTAACCGATGTACAAAAACAATTTAAAATCTCAGATACTGCAAGTAGCGTGAAACCAATGTCATTGAAGATTATGGACCTTTTTTTAGTCCGCCGATATAAATTTACTCATTAAAATTTCACTTATACAGATCATAAATACTACATTTCTCTGTGTTACAGTCTCCATATTTTACATATTTATGAAAGTTCCATATTAAGTTTATTACGATCGCTGAAAATAATCCTCCCTATACTTTTTAATAACTGTTAATGACGGCTGTACAACTTGAAAGATAGATTAAAAAAAGAGAGACTCAAAAACGGTTTAATGACCAAGAAAAATAAACCGTTAAAAATGAGTCGGTTTTACTTGTCTAAGATTTTTGAATTTTAAGTATTTATTTTTTTCTCTCGTACTTTTTTTATCCCTACTTTTTTTTTTTAAAAAAAAAATAATAATAATAATAAATAAATAAATAAATAAACAAATAAAATAGATACAATAGATATAGTTGATAAAATTCATCAAAAAACCGATTTTTTCTGTTAACATATGATCATGCAACGTCTTATCTTTGAAAGGGAATGAAAGGGAATGCAAATAAAAAAATAAATAAATAAATAAATTTTGAAATTCCATTTTAAAAATGAATGACATGAAATAAGACGTAACCCAATTTGAAAGGGATTTACAAATTATAGCATGGGAGAATGTTTTCAAATTTGGCTAAATTGCGGAGTATTTCTGAATGAGTTTGGACCTTGTTACACGAACAACTTCGCGCATTAAACTCCGGATACCTAAAAATTCAAAACAATTATTAACTCGAAATAAAATATAATTGTTCTTTTTTTTTTATTAAAAAAAAAAATTTATTAATAAAATAAAAATAAATCTTATTTTTTATGCTATTAGATACTTAATAGATTATCTTTTAATTAGCCACATCTTATATCACAAGATTATGATTTTTTGATTATCAAATATCATTCAAATTTATCTATTCGAGTAAAATGAAAATCCAAATTAAGGCTATAAAGTTCGAGTCGGAGACCATTATAACTTTGTTAAAGCATACATTTATAGCCCTTCATTATAAAAAGTTCAAATAATTATGCACGATGATATTAGCAATAAGTTGATTTTCCAACGTTTAAATTTGTTACAAGCTAACAGTAACCAGTGTAATCATAACTGTTCACAAAAAATAATTTCATTAATAAATGGATCACAGATAAACCAATGCATTTATTGAAGGATTTTCTTTAGTTTACTGATATGAATTTAGGTTTATTATGATCGCTGAGGATCATCTCAATGACCATTAGTAATGGCTGTAAGATATTGAAAAAAAAAAATAAAATAAAATAAAAAAAGGTTCATAACAGTTTAATGATCAAGAAAATAAACCGTTAAAATGAATCATTTTATTTTTTTCCTCCCATGTAGTACTTTTTTTCCCACTTTTTTTAAAAATAATAATAATAATAAATAAATAAATAAATAAAATAAAATAAAATAAATATAAAGATAGACAGTTTGATGAATTCATCAAAAACCCGATTATTTTAGTTGACATATATTTGATATTTATGTAACGTAAGGGAATGCAGGTCCCCTGAAAATATTAACATCATTGAAAGGTTAACACTAAAACTTAATTAACATTCATTGAAATATAATGGACTGAAAAAAAAAAAATTTAGTAAAAATATTTTATTCTTTTTTCCGAGTGCGCTTTTTCTTATCTTTCAATACACTTTCAACTTTTGATAATCCGATTTGTAAAATTTTTTGAGTGGATTAGGACTTTTGAGAAGGACAAAGTATAACTAGTATTTATTAATACATAATAAAAATTGTCATTTATTATTATATGGATATTGTATGGACGTCACGAAGTGACGTACATATCTATATTTACGGCTAGTGCAGATCATGTTATACATAAACTTTGTTAGAAATCACTTCTCTCGATTGATATTAACCATATCGGTTCAACAAAATCAAATGTTACACAATTAAATGTTACAATATTATTATTATTATCCAACCAAACTCATAACAGAACGCCGAACTTCCCTATACTGCTATATATTCACGAATTACCCGAAAATAATTCTAAAAGCGTGAGCGTAACCTAAAGGTACTACAATATTTTAGGTTTAGACAAAGTCCAGTGATTAGATAAAAAAAGTTTAATATCAAAGTTATGGAATGTGTATGTAAACTCGGATATTTAGTCAAGAAGGGAACAAAGACAATGGTTTTAAGCATTACGCCGTAAATTTGAAAGTATTATAGATGTTAATGATGTAATATTTATAACCAATCATCACGCAACATTAACATTACGCATCATGAGTTTCAGCCTAATACTGGACGAAAAGAAACATGAAGCGAAACGTTTCAAATTCAGTTAGTTTCGCCCGAAAAGACCATGTAAGGATAAATGGCGTGTAAAAATTCATATGACATTCACGTTACATTAATAAATTTCGTGTAATTCTAGAATTTAATATGTTTTGCGTACTGCGCCACTTATGTCAATTTCTAGAATTCTATCATAAATTATTTCCTTATTAAGACATTTTTAAGAATTTATATTTAGACCTTATTAAATGATTGGTTGTTTATGCAAAATATACAAATATGCGAATATGCGAATATCGAATTATTTATTAAACACGATATTTTTTATTCACGACTCTTAATCCTTTCGTCCTTTCGTTTTCCTTCATCCTTTTCATCATTCCTTACTACTCATTCCAATATTCATTCACTATATTCATTCCTTTGATAACTTTTTTATTATAATAAAAAACTTTTTTTTATTTTTTTTTTTTAAAAAAAAACAAAATATATAATATATATAATAGAATAAAATAAAAAAATGGTTAATAATATAAATATATTAACAATTCTTTTGATTTTGTGTTTATTTTTATCATATTCCTTTTGGACATCTTTGGCACAACAAGAAGTAACAAGTTTACAACCAATCTCTTTAACAAATTCGTACGTATCAAAAACACAAGATGATAAACAAGTCGATTCCGATACGACAGAAAAATTTGAAATATTAACTGATGAAACAGGAAATAGTAAAGTTTATATAAGTGGAGAATATTATATAAATTATCTTGAAATATTAAGACAACAACATCATGAAATGTTAATTAAATTAATAGAATTAGCAGATAAAATAGTTTTAAATAATACAGTTTATTCAGTTACATTAAAAAATTCCTTACCACCATCAAATGATCCACATGATTATATGTCACTTTCAAGATATTTTTGGCCAAATCCTGATAAACCTAATGGATTACCTTATATTAGAATTGATGGTATAGAAAATCCCGAAATTTATACAATACCAGATTATACTTTAATGCGTGATTTATTTAAAGAAATTGGAAATTTAGGATTCGCTTATTTTTTTACAAATAATAATTCTTACGTTGAAAAAGCTTTATATAGAATCAATGAATGGTTTATTGATGAAAAAACTAGAATGAATCCAAATTTAAATTATGCAGGGTTTAGAAAAGGTGATATTATTGGTAGAAGAACAGGTGTATTAGATATAAGACCAGTATTTAGAATGTTACAATCGATACCATTAATGCGTTCATCATCAAAATGGAATTTTGTTATAGAAAAAAAATTACGTCGATGGTTTTCAGAATATTATACTTGGTTAACAACTTCTCCTATAGGAATAAAAGCCAAAGAAGATGGATTTAATAATCATGGTACTCATTATGATGTACAAGTAACTTTTATTTTATCATTTTTGGGACATGATGAACAAGCAAGAACTTATTCCAAACAAGCTCTTATAAATAGAATAAATATAGGAATATTACCATCTGGTGAACAACCTTTCGAAACTCGAAGAATGTTAAGTTGGCATTATTCTATATTTAATTTACAAGCATTATTCTTATTGGCTGAGAGAGCTGATCATTACGGTTATAATGATGCTTGGACTTATGTTGGTAATGATGGTCAAACACTTAAAAAAGCTGTAGATTATATCTTATATTACGCTCTTAATGATGGTAAAGATTGGCCATTTCAAAATATTGGAGATTTTGAATTAAACGATTTTGTAAAAATTTTAGAATTAAGTTACGTTACTTGGGCTGATGAAAAATATTTACAAGCTTTACTAATTTTAAGACCTAAAGCTAAATTGGAACAAATTGAAAAGAATCTTGATTTTGAAGATAATTATCTTTGTGTTTGGTCTTTAATGACTAATAGATTATTATGGTCTTGTATAGATTAAAAGATAAAAAATAAATATAGTAAAAATATTTGTTTATTTATTTATATTTATTTTAATTATTTTAATTATTTTAAGTTTAAACGACGTTCAAATTGTTTATACTTGAATTTTTGTATAATAATAATAATAAATTAATTAATTTACCATTTATGATATAACCTTTTTTTTAAAAAAATTTCCTGTCTTACAAATATTCGTTTACTAGTACAACGTTAGTAACTAATGAAGAAGATCCTTGGATCTTACCGATCCGATATATTATTATAGATTTTTAATTTAATGCAATGTGGCTCTTATTTTTCATTTCCCAGTAGATTGGATCTTTGAACAGATTTTGTATTACTTTGATTTACCAATTATTGATTTTGACTTGGTTAGCTTGTAAATTAAATATGCATTTTTATTTTTAAATTTTATTTCGAGTATTTCGAGCGTGTAAATGATATTTTCCTGTGGCGCAGAAAAGAAAATAATTTTTAAGCATTTAATTAATATTACTAGTTCTTCGCTTTTGTTCTGAAAATCTAATTTAGACCTTTTTTTTAAAAAAAAAAAAAAATTAAGAACCCTTTTTTTTTCAAGAATTTGTACCTTAAAAACAAAAATGTATGTAATAATAAAATTTATGTACATTGGCGTAATCCATATATATATATATAAACTATATTGATATTTGGACTTGAAACCCTAAATAAACTTAAGATTTTTTTCATATTTGTATGCATTACATCACTTTTCATATAATATTTATAAAATACATAATAATAATATGCAAACGATGCAAACGATTACCCTATTATTAATTAATAATTTTTGTGTAAGTTGTGATCGTATTCATTCATTTTACCGATACCTGTTATACCGATACCTGTTATACCGATACCTGTTATACCGATACCCGTTATACCGATACCTGTTATACCGACACCTGTTATACCGACACCTGTTATACCGACACCTCTTTTACTGACTTGCGCCATTTTACCGACATGATCAACATCATGAAATTTTGCTTACTGCTGATTTCATAATATATGGGACATCTATTCGGAAAAGTTCAGAATAAGTTAAAACTATATTGTTAGAATTGTTAGATTCGGAGCAGGTATAGCTTTTATTTTATTCTGAGTTATATCGAATCTTACCGAGTTTCTCTCGGCATGGAGTGATGGGTGTCCCGTATATTATGAAATCAAATGTAAAGTTTTTTTGATTTATTTTTCTAATTATTTATTTTTATTATATGTAATTAAAAAGTATATATATTTATTTTGAATTTATCATTATCTAATTAATAAAAAGCAAAAAATGGTTTCACCGAATAATAACTATTTATTAGATTACTAATTTTTTTTTACAAAATTTGAAAAATCGGAAGTTATCTATTGAATAAATTTAATTTTATTATTTTATTATTTGCAATTTGAAAGTAAATAAGCTTATAATTTTTTTTTTAAGAGCAGTAAAATTTTACTTAAAATAATTAAGATACAACAAGAAGCGAGGCGCAACTAAATGAAAATTTATTTATTTACATTATTTACAGTAAATAATTTTCGATGAAATGGCAAGTCGAGTAATTTTTTATGTCGGTAAAATGGCATTTCAGTGAAATAAGGCCAGGTAAGTTTTCATGTTGGTAAAATGAATGTCAGCAGCAAAATGGTGTTAGGGAAAATCATCTGTCCGTATATACTGTATTACCGTAATCCCGTTGTGACTGTGATTACTGATTTTGATTGGACGATTTATACTGGATATATTGTCCGATTTTTGTCCAGGAATTGTCCTGTAATCTGTAATCTGGTAATTATATTTTAGGTAATTTGCACAATTCTGAAAACAGCGACGATAATATTCGACCGACTATAATTTTTTTATTCGAATTTAAAATTTAATCAATGTAAAAAAACCGAATATAAAATGAAATAGTGCATTGCTTTAAATTAATATTAACTTGGTCTAAAAATTTTTTGTCGCCTTTTAAATTATTGATTTTTTTTTCAATTGTTTGAATTTTTTAAATTTCAATATACTGTAAAACATCTTAATAAATCATAGTATTATAAATTATTTATTATATCAATACAATTTTGATATAGGGAAAGTAATGAAATTAATAATAACTGCATTTTATGTGAAGATAAGTTTGGAGTAATTGAGGGATTTGCTTCTAACTTTTCTGAAAAGCACCTTTAATTCGTGATCCGTCTCCAAACCAGTGAAATCTACTAATACATTTTGGGGAATTATTTTGCAAATTAATTTAGTGGGAAATTCAGATAAGAGCAATAGATATAGCACGCAGGAAATGTGAAATGAACTTACAAATTATTAGAGAAAAGAAGTTTAGAAGAACTGCAAAATTACTAGATACACCACTCAATATAAGCAAAATATAGTACGACCTGTGTTTAATAGAAATAAATAATTTTAATACTTTTTTTTTGTTTTTTCTTGTTTATAACCTTTAAATAAATTATTTACCAGCAAATAAATAACATTTTAATAAAAAAATATCAATTTTGTGATTTTCACACCTCTTGTATTGAATAATTATGGCATTTTTAAAGGCTGGAATCCAGCGTCGCTAAAGAAAAAATTTTTTAACTAATCGTTCAATGTAAAAATTTTTGATGGATCCTGATTCCCTCAGTTTTAAGCAATTGGTTACACTATTTTTCAGCCGGGTTGTAATACAAATTTGGCTGGTTACTTTTTAGGCAATATCGCCAATTTGTATAATAATGTAGCCTTAAATGGCAAGTATATGTTGATCAAACTTGTGATAATAATATTTGACGATGCAAATTTATCATTCAATATACCCAGAACATTATTATATAACACTTAAAAAAAAAAAATTCTGGGCAAATCAGCTCAAAAGCCATTTAAGTAATTAATTTGTAAAACCAGTTCCCCGAAATTTATTAGTAGTTTTCACTGGTTCGGAGACGGATCACGAATTAATTATTATATATAGTCAGCCGTCAGCTCTCTCGATATAACTGAACGAGCCCGTGAGTTTTTAACCGATCAAATACCCTAGTTATAACGAATCAACCAATCAAGTTCTTTACTGTAAAACTGATTTCATAATGTACGGGACACTTAGCAGAACTCGGAAATATTCGGTAAAGCTCAAAATAAGATAAAATTATACCACCATTCTCGGAATATTACTCCAAAAATTAGCGTATAATTTTTATTTTACGTCAAGCTTTACCGAATATTTCCGAGTTCTTTAAAATTTGCTGAGTGTCCCGTATATTACTGTAAAAACTGGAATATTCGTTATATCGCCTATCGGCGGATATGTTCGTCATATCGGCTCATACGGAGAGTTGATATTTGCACTAAAATTTGCATACATCAATTTCGGTTAATTTATATGTTTACAGTTGTTTTTCATAAGTTACGGGACACAAAATCGCATGCTCAAACATTCGGCAATACTCGGTAAAACTTTACAGCTGATTTAGGAGAAATATGAACCCTTTATGGAAAAGAAGATGGAATATAAAAAAGCGGATCGACTTTTTTTCACAGGGGGTGTTGGAATTAATGACGAAATAATTTTCATTTTCTGTAAATGGATCCGTGAAAGGCTTGCATAAATAACGGATAAAATTTTTTGTCGGTACATTCGCTAAAACTCGGTAAGTTCAGAATAAGGTAAAAAACTATATTGTTAGATAGATTTGGAACACTGGACTGTAGTTTTTATTTTATTCTGAGCTATACCGAATCTTACCGAGTTTCTCTCGGCACGGAGTAAAAATGATGGGTGTCACCGAGTTACTTTCGGCAAGAGCCGAGTGTCCCGTAACTTATGAAAACAATTGTAAATTATATGAACCTCGTATTAACCAATTTTACCGATACCTGTTTTACTGACATAAAATTTACCGTCTTCAACTTTTGCCGACTTGTTTCCAAAATGAATCACCATTTTGCCGATAGCCATTTTTCCAACATTAGTATCTTTTGAAAATATTTATTCTATATATCATTTTCTTTTTCAAAAAAAAAAAAAAGTTATATATTTGTACTATTTATTGAATTAATTTAATTCATTATACTGAAATTTGAAATTAAATAATGAGAATTCGCCTTGAAAAAAATATTACTACGATAATTTAAAATTGAGGCGCAGTAAGGAGGCGCCGTGATAAAAGTGGCGTCGGTGTGTGTCTTTTAGTCGTACTTGTTAAATAAACTAGCTATAATTGTGTAAAGGCTTTTTGGAAAACCTATATCGTGAATATTTATATCATGTATATTAAATTTTAAAAAATGTTTTTAAAAATTGAACTTTTTACGAACGTTTTTTTTTTTTAAAAAAGAATTTCGATATTGGATAGTAGTTTTTTTGTTTCGTACGGTCACATCATCGCACTATAACGTTTTACAATGTGCAAAATAATTATAATACATACATAAATTTCATTATAATCACGCACGAATTCTTTCTTGATTGGTTCAAAATAAAAGGAATAATAAGTCAATAATACAAGTTTGATAATCGGTTTTTTTTTGCTTGATGTCCTTCCAATCTTTAAATTTAAACAATCATATTCGTCCTCCCTTCAAAGTTCATGCTTTTATACCAAAAAAAAAAAAAAAAAACCCTCTTCAACTTTTCAAAATTTCATGATTATTAACACCGATCTCTTCTGATCCTTCGAACGTTAAGGCTAAATTGTATAACTTAATAATTTCTAAATTATTTTTTCATCACTAATGTTTAA